CCACTGAATCGATCTGCTGCTCCTGGAACTTTCCTGTGGACGTGAATCCCCTAGCGACTTTCTTCAAATGCAAACTCATTTCAGGAGGTCTGAGGTACGGCCTGAGACCCTGCATTTCTAATGCTGATGCTGCTGGTCTCAGGACCACATTCTAAGTAGCAAGACTGGATAAAATGTGTGTATTTTTCAGGCAGAAAAGACATGTCGAGGTAGACATGTACCTTTCAACTATTCATGGGTAAGGAAAGAATTTATTAGTACAGGATGCTTGTGAGAGATACAAGCGGGCAGGCAAAGAAGTGGTGCCCTGAGAACTTAGTGGGCTACAGTTTTATAATCAAAGGAAAAGTTGGGGGGAGGGGAAGACCACTTTCTTCCTTATTCTTGAGTAGACATCACCATTTCATCATCGGTTCCTCCCGCATGTCGGGCAGGGGAGTTTTCTTGGTCCCTACGTGGTCAAACTGGGACTGTCACGGCACAACGGAAATAAGCAAAAAGGCAAGTAACGTATACTAAAATATGATAAACCATCTCAGGTTTCAGTCTAATTTCATCTTTTCCTTGTATTTTTGTTTTTAGTGTGTGCAGAGGAGCATGTCCTAGGATTCATTAACTTACTGACCTCACTGGGCAGGATGTGGGTCTCACGTTACCCTTGTTTTGTTGTTTTGGGTCAGGTCTCATGCTTCTGCTGCGTGTTTTGTTGCTAAGCAAGCCTGCTTTCTTGAGTGATCATTCATTTACAGGGGACTCCCATACTTTTTTTGTCTACTTGCAATCCCCCAGTGGGATTAATTATTTAATCACCTACTTTGGCCCTTTTCTCTGTCCCTATCAATATTACCGAGGAAACGGATAAACTGAGCTGCAGGCATGGGGGAGGCTGAGAGAGGAACCCCTGAGTTCGGAGGAAAACAATGAGGTGGGTGGGGACGAGCCAAAGGGAGCTGGAAGCTAGTTGGGCAAAAACGACGGGAGAGTCAGCCCTAGAGCCAGCAGAACATCTCCACTGGGGGATTTCCTTACCAGACAGGAGTCTTGGGACTTTTTTCCTAATGATGGTTGCAGGCGTACAATGGGGAATATTCAGAACTGTGCCAGGCGGGGCTCACCAAAAGAGAAAGGCTCTCCGCAGAGACACACCACCCCCAGAAGGAGAGGTGGCAGCGGCTGGACCATAGCTGTCCCCACTTTGGCAAGATCAGCTTCAGAGTCTACACGCCAACTGCTGGCACTTATTCCAGAAAGCTCATCAAGCACCTCCGCCATACAAGCGTGCACATGTGTGCACCCACACACACACACACACACACACACACACACACCCCTTGGCTTCTCAAAAGTGGCACCATGAGAGAGTCTACCCCCGGGCACAGCTTTTGTTCAGCGCTTGCTGCAGCCCTGCCTTAGCTGCACCTCTTCTGCCTCGGGGCTTTGCACAGGCCTCCCTGGGATGCCCACGAGCAGATTCTGCCATTCTAGACCCTATGCAAACCTGGACGTGCAAGGAAATGAAGACTCCCTGGGGCAGCCCTTGCCCAGGAGGAATGAGAGCTGATACAGAGATTCCCCTCTCCTGGGTCTCACGTGGACAGTGCGGGGTGCCCTTACTGTCCAGCGGTAAGGGCATGTCTCCACGGGTGACCAGCTGAATAATGCACGCTTCATCGGCTCTCACTCCTCCAGTCCCCTTTGCCCCGGCTCCGCATTCCCGTTCCCTTAGGTCACTTCCTAAAACAAACTACCTGCCCGTAGGCCATCCAGGCTCTGCTTTTGAGGAAAACCACGCTCACACACGCCTCAAGCAGTGGCGGCTAAATCCTGCAGGGCGAGGGAGAAGGCTGGAGACTTCAGAGCGGACCCACAGTGAGCCAGAACGTTCGAGGCGCTCCCTAAAGCCAGCAGCCCCTGCCCGAGGCTCATGCAGCAGTGCAGGGGTGTTCTGAGAACAAATTACGTCTTGTCCAAAAAATAATTTAAGGTCCTCTGTGAGACGCTGGAAACAAGAGAAGGGAAGCTAAAAGAAATGAGGCTTGTTTAGCCTGGAGAAGAGAAAGCAAAAAGGTTAATAACTGACTTCCTAAAAGTAAACTGCTTGTTCTCAATGTTAGCCCACGGAAGCAGGGAGAAGGGGAGACAGGCTGAAGCTGGGGCTAAAGGGCCAGGTCACCCATCAGCATGCTGCCAAGGGGGAGATGGCATCTTGAGGTGAAGTAATGAGCTCCCCGTCATGGGAGGAATTCAGCAAACTTATTGGGGATAATGTGTATGGGATTTATTTTTTAGATGAGAGCTTTTCAAGTTGTTTCTTCTCTAGGCCCCTCTTTAAAAATCATGGAGCCTTTTCAAAGTAGGATCTTGGGAGTAGGGGTCTGGCCCGGAAGAGGGAACACTGCTTGATCTGTAACCTCATAAACTCCCCCAGTCCAACAACACACACACACACACACACACACACACACACACACACACACACACACACACACACACACACACACGACTGAATTGTATTCCACTTCTGATGTTATTCCACAGCAGGCGGTTTTCTCATGAGGTCTTGGCACCACCTAGTGGCTCCTTAGTTCATTACAACATATACTGGGGATAGATGGTATTGTAGTTTGAACACAAACACCCTCTTTGATTAAGACATCAATTCAACAAAAATATATTAAATACAAGATATGGGTGAGGAATTCCCTGATGGCCCAGTGATTAAGAATCCGCCTGCCAATGCAGGGGACACGGGTTTGATCCCTGGTCCGGGAAGATCCCACGTGCCGCGGAACAACTAAACCCGTGCGCCACAACTACTGAGCCTGCGCTCTAGAGCCCGCGAGCCACAACTACTGAGCCCACGTGCTGAAGCCCACGCACCTACAGCCTGTGCTCCACAACAAGAGAAGCCACGGCGCACCGCAACAATGACCCAACGCAGCCAAAAATAAATGAGTGAATTTTTTAAAAAAGATATGGGTGAGGGACTCTGCTAGAATCTGAGGTGCAAAGGTAACCAAATAAGACATGGTCTCCCCTTCATGAAGCTCACAGCCTAATGGAAAGACAACAAACAAGTAAACAAAATAATCATTACACATTGTGCTGCTGTCATCAGGAGATAAATCCATTGTGTGACAGAAAATAACGTAGGCAGGAGCGGGTCTCCCTGAGAAACATCAGGCCAAGCTCAGCAGGATGGGATGAGAGGGACAGGGGTGCAGAAAGCATGGGGGAGGGGTGACAACATTCCATGAAGGCAAAGCACAGCACATGTCTGGTGGCATCAAGAGCCTGGCTGGTCAAGGAGTCTAAAGATCAGTGTGTTCAGTGCAAAGTGACGAGGACGAAGGGGGGTGCAATGAGGCTGGGGCAAGGACCTAGGAGTGGTCCACGTTTGTAAACACTTCCTTAAGCGAAAGCACGCGGGTGGTTAGGCTGGGTTCTTCCAGAACAGTACCTGGTGGAATTTTAATTTTAGAAAAAGAAGGAAAATGCCATTATGAGAACTTGGCCGTTTGCTCCAATGCAGCAGGACCCCATCCGGGGACGTCAGTGACAGCTGCATGCCCTGCTGCAGACAGCCTACATCTATCTGCTCCTGCCCTGCATGATAAGCTGATAAGCTTCTGTGTCCTTGGCTAATTGCATTGAACCTCACATTAAAGTCTGGACCACGGGTTCTCAATCCTGGCTGCAAGTCACCTGGAGCTCATAAGAATCCTAAGGTCAGGCCACACCCCTGACTCGTCGGCGTCCCCGGGGTGGGCCTGAAGTAGGAGATAGGCCCCTGGACCAGACAGCTGGTGTTTGTCAAATGGAGCAAAACTGAAGTTTTGTCCTCAGCCAGACGAGAATGACACCCGTTTCCCTTCCTTCATTGATATGGAGGGAATGAACTAGCAGTGGGGAATTTCTTGCAGCAAAAATAGAAATGAATTTTCCTTTTCCTGAGAGCAAGGGAAAAAAAGGGAACAGCAAACAGGCCAGAGAAGAAACATAACCTGGCCTGAAAGAGTTAATCACTCTTAGTTTAGTTTTGTTTCGTTTTTTAATAAATTTATTTATTTGTGGCTGAGTTAGGTCTTTGTTGTTGCGCGCGGGCTTTCTCTAGTTGTGGCGAGCGGGGGCTACTCTTCGTTGCGGTGCGCGGGCTTCTCATCGCGGTGGCTCCTCTTGTTGCGGAGCACGTGCTCTAGAGCGCAGGCTCAGTAGTTGTGGTGCACGGGCTTAGTTGCTCTGCGGCATGTGGGACCTTCCCAGACCAGGGCTCAAACCCATGTCCCCTGCATTGGCAGGTGGATTCTTAACCACTGTGCCACCAAGGAAGTCCCGCTTAACTGTATTTAACCCAGAATTTCCCACTCTGTCCTTGGACTCTTTTCCTTAGGTAACATACTTCATAGAACATATTTTGAGAAATGCTCCTCTATGGCTTTGAAAAATTCTTTGCAGAAACAAAGCACAGAAAAATTAAGTAACTCCTGGAATCATGCGCTGGTCAACAACACAGAGGACAAGTGGTCATAAAACCACAGACCAGCACACTAGTTCCATCTCAACATTTTTGCCATAAACTGAACCTGCCTGAAAAGAGGCAACAATACATTTTCCACGATTTCCTTCTTTATGGTGTAAAGCGTTGGGCATGCTGATCACAGTACAGAATTTAACAGGGCCCACAGGGGCCCATACTTCATGCACAGAGACCAGATGTTTCTAGTCTTTTCCACTTCTGTAACAATCAAATCATTAAACAACCGTCGTCGCTTATCACATGACTACAAGATTTTTCAAATAGACTTGACAGCCCTTTGTTCTTGATAGGACACAAGAAAACAATAGGGCTTCTAATTATTTTCAGCAAGAATCACACAGACCAAGAAATCAAAATACAAAAGCTTTTGGCTATATATGCCAAAAAATCTTAAAGTATTACAGCAAGGACAGGGAAAGATGGAAATCAAGGACATTACTGGAATGAGGTAAACATTTCATGCATTTGCATAAATACATAATTTTTTAAATTCTCGTTTCCAAGGAATTTAACATGATATATTGAAACGGAAGACAGCAAAAACAACTCTCCAGTTGTGGGACATGGCAAACACAGTTATTATCTGTGCCAGGATGTAAACCGACCTCACACCTCAATAACAATTCTCGCAAATCGATACTGCAGAGAGGCAGGCGGCCTCAGCAACACGAGACCCCTCTCCACTCCTGGCTGGCTGGACAGCATATCCAGCAAGCCCGTCAAACTAACAAACCCCAGGGCTTCCCCACAGCCGACAGCCATGGAAAAATCTCCCTGTGTGACAAAGCCAAGGAGAACTCTGGAGCAGTGAGAAGTCACAACCGGGAGAGGGCCTGACCACAAGCCCAGGGTCAGAGGCTGGTGTCCAGCTGCAGGGTCCCCCTCTGCCAGACCCTCAGATGCAGCACAGCCTCGCTTCCGCCTCTTCTCTAGTTTCTTCTTCTTCTGTTTCCGGATCTGGCTCTTGAATGGGTCACTATGCTTGGGCTCCTGGGGCCCACAGTACAGCCGATCCTGGCTGAGCTGGAGGAGGTCCTCCTCAGCTGGAACACAGATCATGGTGTGCGGCTCGGGGCTGCCCTTCCTGAGCAGGGACAGCCTGACCCACACCAGGGCCTTGGGGAAGCGGTCCAGGATGGACAGGCAGGCCTCTCTGCTCAATTCTTGCTGCCCTGTGCCAGGAGCTCGTGGGGCTGCCCGACTGTTCCCAGAACTGGGTCCACACCAGGCTGACAGCTGCCTCAGTAATTTTCTACTCCTGCATGAAGTGGGAGACACATGTTTTGAGGATATTTTGTTCAAGGAGAAAATATGCAGTTGGAAGACTGGACATTGCTAGAGTTCATTTGATTTTTTAATACTCTGTGGGGGGAAAGGATCAAAACTTTGATTTTTTAAAACTCAAAAATACACATTTGTGTAATGATACTTTTCTTTTTATGTGTCTACTACTCTGAGACTCAAGGATTAAAGGTTTAAAGTTGAAGGCAGAGAAAAATAAGACAGTGGAGTAGAATCTATGGCAATATTCACAGTGAGAGGATTCGAGTAAAAAGGAACTGATGTTTTGATGAAAAAAGAAACTCTAAGGGACACTTATCTGAAAAGTAAGAAGGAAGGATATGAAATTACTGTACAGAAAAATAAGTATAAAGCAAAGGGGTGGCACTCTTTTAAAATCAGAGCACAGAATAAAGGGTAAATGATAAGCAGAATCGAATAGCCTGCAGCAGCACTGAGAGAGGAACACATTTTACACAGTAACCTCTGTGATATGACAATATCACAATGAATGGGGATCTAGTCGGCCACAAATGCAGATCATTCAAAAGCAATGGGAAGAAATCTAATTCAACGATTTAAAGAATGCTTGCAGGGGTTCTTCATTACTTAAGATCACAATCGTGAGGGGACTGCTTTGTGAGCAAAGACTAAATAAAATAGGTCTTAAACTGCCCTGGTTTAGGTCTACTGACGCGACATTTTAAATCATTTCATGAGTTAGCATCATGCCCCAAATCAAATGTATGTGATTTAGCCTTTTCCCTGGGCCCTCTATGATTCACTGGCTTTCCCTTCCAGAAGGTCCATAAATTCGCTTGGGCTTTGTGTAAAGGAACATGATAACTTTTACTTCCTGTAGCCTGGTCAGTATCAAAAAACAGGCAATCCAAAAACGTACCCAGAGGTCGTGTGCACTTACCTCAGAACACAGAGGAGACTGCTGGTGGCACCCTGGCCCACTACCCCCTCAGTCCCCGCCCGGGCTGGACCATCTGCGTCCATCACTCCCTTGGGCTCGCTGGAGCCGTTTAGGGGTGTGCCCTCATCATCAGGCAGCTGACGAGCCCTTCCAGGCACGGGAGCGCGAGGCACCACCTCTCTCCTCAGGCTACTCTCCTCACCACCTGGAGAGGAAGCTGCAGATGATTCGCCTTCGGCCTGGACTCTTGATTCCCAGTCTAGGGTTAACTGCTCCCAGGGACAGCAGAAAGGTGCCAGGGTGCCAAGCTTAACGTAGTTGGGCCGTTTTGCCGGAGGGCGTCTAATGGAAATCAAAGAGGAGAAACGATTTTGAACAATTTAGAATGGACAATCAAAATAACCATGGCCACCGTACTCCATCTCTATTTTAAAAACAAATGGGCAGGGCTTCCCTGGTGGCACAGGGGTTGAGAGTCCGCCTGCCGATGCAGAGGGTACGGGTTCGTGCCCCGGTCAGGGAGGATCCCGCATGCCGCGGAGCGGCTGGGCCCGTGAGCCATGGCCGCTGAGCCTGCGCGTCCGGAGCCTGTGCTCCGCAACGGGAGAGGCCACAGCAGTGAGAGGCCCACGTACCGCAAAAAAAAAAAACAGAAAAAAACAAATGGACAATCAAAATAACCATGGCCACTGTACTCCATCTCTATTTTAAAAACAAACATACAAAAAAGTTTTCTAAGAAATACGATTTTAAAAATTAATAATAACCAACTCTACTGGCTGAGCTTTCGTTTTCTTCGGTTTTTACTGTAATAAATAATGCACCCACAAAGTCGCCCTGCGTGCATCACTCCGGGGAGTGCCACTCCTGAAGAACTGCGGGTAAAAGGTGCTCCTGGAGCTGTGCAGTGATGCCCCTGAATATTCACAGGGTTTGAAGTCCAAAAGGTGCAAAAGGGGGACTTCCCTGGTGGTCCAGTGGTTAAGAATCAGCCTTCCAATGCAGGGGACACGGCTTCGATCCCTGGTCAGGAAACTAAGATCCCACATGCCATGGAGCAACTAAGCAACTCTGAGCCCACGCACTCTAGAGCCCCCATGCCCCAACTAGAAAGCCTACGCACCGCAATTAGAGAGCCTGCATGCCACAACTACTAAGCCTGTGCACCACAACTAGAGAGAAGCCCACACACCACAACGAGAGAAGCCCACGTGCTGCAACACAAGATCCCACGTGCTGCAACTAAGACCCGATGCAGCCAAAAATAAAAAAAAATTTTTTTTTTAAAGGTACAAAAGGGGTGATGGTGAAGTTTCTCCCTCACCCTTGACCTCTGGTGACCCAGTTGTCCTCCACAGAGACAATATCGTCATCTGTTTCTTATATATCCTTCTAGAGACATTTTATAAACTTACAAGCAGATATATACATATTTCTTTTTTTACCCATTTTACACAAATGGTGGCAAACCGATCCTGTACTCTTTTGCTTAACTTTATTCATTTAACAAAATATCTTGGAGGTCATTTTACATTAGCACATCAAGACATCCCTCACTCTTTTGCACAAGTCTTATCCCACTGGATGGTTATACCTTAAGTTATTTAGACAGTCCTCTCCTCGAGGACATTTTGGTTACTTTCAAGCTTTTGCTTCTACAAACGATGCTGCCATGAATGACCTTGAACATGTTGTACAAGTACAAGTATATCCACAGGATAAAGTCCTGGGAGTGGAAGTGCTAAGGCAACGAGTATTATTAGCACTTGCAATTTTGACAGATATTTCCAAACTGCCCTCCACATGGGTGATACCAAATGACTTTTCCAGCAACATGTTAGGGAGAACCTTCACAAAACCACTAACTAGTGGGAACCAGGGCCTGCTCTGGTATGTAATGACCCCAAGAGGTAGGGAGCAGCCTGGCCATGGGCCCTTCCGGGCTGGGGTACTCTGTGGGAGTCCCAGCCTGCACCCTCAGGCTGATGGTCTCCTAGGGAACAGGCCCAGACATTCCTTCCCCCCTTTGTTTCTTACTGTGTGCTATGCCCTAGGACCTCAAATGGAAATGAACCTGTACGCTTAATCAGAGGTTCAGTTTGAGCCTATATTCTGGAGACTGAACCAAATGTGTTCTGGCCTCCTGAGAGGGGCAGCTGGTGAAAAACCCTCTCAGAGTACTTGCCTCACCCAGAAACTTTTAAAAAGCGAGATGGGCAGTTTACAAAAAGAGAGACAAAAAATGGTGAAAACACTTAAGAGTACCCAACCTCACTTGTAAGCAAACAAACAAAAAATGAAAACGGTAAGATGCCATTTTTTCATCTGTGTTTTGTCAGTATTAAAAGATTGGTAAGGACTTCCCTGGTGGCGCAGTGGTTAAGAATCCGCCTGCCAATGCAGGGGACACGGGTTTGAGCCCTGGTCCGGGAAGATCCCACATGCTGCGGAGCAACGCAGCCCATGTGTCACAACTACTGAGCCTGTGCTCTAGAGCCCGCGAGCCACAACTACTGAAGCCCGTGTGCCTAGAGCCTGTGCTCCGCAACAAAGAGAAGCCACCACAACTAGAGAAAGCCCGCATGCAGCAACAAAGACCCAACGCAGCCAAAAATAAATAAATAAACAAATTTCTTTTTAATTAGTTAAAAAAACAAAATAAAAGATTGGTAATGGCCCGTGTTATCGAGACGTGAGGGAAAACAGGCACCCTCGGAACTAGAGGTAAAATTCTACACTAATACAAATAGCAATTTGCCAATGGTACATCAAATCCTCAAAGCATGCAGCTTTTTTTTCTTTTTAACCAGAGATCTTATTTATGAGATTGAGCCTAAGGTCCTTCTTTGCCTTCTTTCCGCTACAGCTGCTCTCAAGTGCTAGCTCTTTCTTTTTCACACCCCGCAGGCCTAGGGGTGGGCACATTCCTCCTGATGCCCCCAGGCCGCTTTTCTTCTCCTTCCTGCTCCCCTGAAGCACAAGCCATCAGATAAACCACTGGCTCTCCCTGCTCAGCCAGGGCCTCGGTCAACTCCCCAGGCACCCCATTCCCCGCCACTCTGCCTTCCCCTCCATCCCGACCCATTCTCAATGGCTTCAGCAGCTACACATATCATCCTTCTAGTACCCTGGCCCACCAGAAACTTCTCACACCTTTCACTTCACCCCATCTCAACCACCCACTCTCCTGATCACACCTTACCTTTTGGTCACTGCCAACACTCGCTCCACCTTAAAATCTCAATTTCAAGTATCCTTCACTCAGAATGATGCCTCCTATTTTGCCTGCCCATTTACCTCTCCACGGCAACAATTCCTCAACCACGGGAACTTAACTACGGTAAGTCCCCTACATACGAATGAGTTCCGTTCCAAGAGCGAATTCATAAGTCCAATTTGTTCGTTAAGTCCAACAGAGTTAGCCTAGGTACCCAACTAACACAATCGGCTATATAGTGCTGTAATAGGTTTATAATATCAATACTTTTCACACAAATAATACATAGAAAACAAACACAAAAAATAAAGAAAACATTTTTAATCTTACAGTACGGTACCTTGAAAAGTACAGTAGTACAGTACAACAGCTGGCATACGGGGCTGGCATCGAGTGAACAGGCAAGAAGAGTTACTGACTGGAGGAGGGAGAGGAGGTGGGAGATGGTAGAGCTGAAGGATCCTCAGCGATAGGAGACGGAGGGCAAGCTGTAATTTCACTCACGCCTGACGCTGATGGAACACACGTCCACATCGTTGAGAGTTTGCAACTTGAAGGTTCGTATGTAGGAGACTTACTGTATTCATTTACCACTTCATCACTGCTCACTACCGTCCTCACATCTCTCTCCTTGGAAGCCTAGATGCCACAGTTCCTAAGAGAGTCACTCCCTTTACACATACCCCCAAGTCCCTCCTCCCGCAAAGCCCCTGCTGGTTACATTCAACCCTCCACTACCCCACCTGCCAGCACCTGATTGGCAGAACATGGTTGGGGAAGAACATGCAGTAGTCCTGAAGGGTCTCACTACCAACACAACTTAAGTGGACTCCTACATTTCTTACAAATCTGATATGTTTCTCCAGTCGATTCTATCTTCCACTCTCCCAGAACACCGTCTATATCAATTCCTCTCTCCTCAAATCTCCAACAGCCTCTCTCCCCCTTATTCCTAGACGATAACCTTGCCTATTTTTCACTGAGAAGACGGTCACAATCAGACCACTACCCAACCTCTGCGCAGAGGCTAGCCTACCTAAATCTGTATTCACATTTTCAGAGTCAGCCTTCCAGCCTACTAAAAATAAGACAGCTAAGCCTGATCCTAAGGAATGCCACTCCTCCCCTTATGCCCTGGACGCTACCCCGTCTTCCTCACTCAAGGGCTTTGCTCTTGCCATTTTAGCCTCCCTCCCCTTGCCTGGATCCTTCCCACTTCCATCAAGAATAAGCTCCACAAGGGCAGAGCAGACTTTGCCCATCCCGTCCCCTGCTGCAGCCTCAGTGCCTAGAAAGGTTTTTGACACATGGCAAGTTCTAAGTAAACATGTGCTAAATGAATAAATCAGACAAATACGTAGAGATACAAATGGAAAGCTGTTCACAGAAGCACAGAGCAAAAATTCAGAAAGAACCTAAAGGGCCACTGATAAATCACAGAACAGCCATACTGTATTGGCAAACTACAACTCACTGGGCAAACCTGGCCCACTGCCTGTTTTTGTATGACCCACGAGCTAAGAATGGTTTTTACATTTTTCAATGGTTGAAAAAAACACAAGAGGGAATTCCCTGAAGGTCCAGTGGTTAGGACTCCGCACTTCCACTGCAGGGGGCCCGGGTTTCATTCCTGGTTGGGGAACTAAGATCCCACAAGCCGCGCGGTGCAGCCAAAAAAAAGAAAAAAGAAAAGAAAAAAACACAAGAGAATAATATCGTGTGGCACATGAAAATGCTATGAAATTCAAATAGGATTGTCCATAGCGTGAGCCTGGAACACAGCCGTGCTCACTCATTTATGCATCCTCTGAGGCTGCTTTTGTGCCACATGGCAGAGTTGAGCAGCTGCCATGGAGACCAAAGGGCCCACAAAGCCAGAAATAGTTATCATCTGGCCCTTTACAGAAAAAGTTTGCCAACTCTTGGTTTAGAGTCATATTTATTGATATGGGAAAACTTTCCATAATACACAGCTAAATGAAAAAAGCAGGTTTCAAAATAGTATATGTAATACAATGCCTTAAAAAAAATTTGTGTCTATGAAAAATTTATATACATAAAAAAATCTAAAGGGTGAGAAATAAGTATTACTGTCAATTATTATTTAACAAGCATGGAGAAGCCCCTGCACACTATGGGAGGCATAGGATGTACAACACACAATGGCTGCCCTCAAAGGGCTTGTAAACCAGCAATCCAGGAACGTATCCCCGTTCACTCACTCACTCATTCATCCATCATTCAAACAATAGCTGGAAAGCCAAGCCAACTGTAGCCAAGCCTGTCTCTAGAGTTGCATCAGTGCACAGGAGAGCACAACTGTGGAGCTCACAATCAAGGAAATACAACATTCAATTAGTCACCCATTCATCAGTCAACAAAAAAACAGGTATAAGGCCCACTGTGCACTAGGCACCGGCTAGATACTGCAGATGCCACAACAAACGAGAGTTTTTGTGCTTCCAGAAGTCTACAGTTCAGTAGGAAATACAGGTGCCCTATGTTTCCTTTCCAGAGTATAAAGGAAATAAAGCCCCTCACTGGCCACTCCTCCAATGGAAAAGAAAAAAGTCTAGATGGATAGATACCAAAATGTAAAAACAGTGCTATCTCTCTGGATGAAAGGAATACACTAGTCTATAAAGTATTTTTGTATGTTTCCATAGTACTCCATCTATAACCATTACGAAAAACAGAATTTCCATTTTGAGGAGGCAGGGCTCAGTAGCGGGAATCAATTAACAAGCGCCTGGAACTCAGGTCCACAGCTTAGGTGTACACCATCATCAGTGAAGCAAATAACCAAGAGAAAGGTTTGTAACCTGCATGGGCTATAAAATCTAGATATAGGGCAATCTCCTGACCTAAGTAGCATCTTCTTAATTATGTCTTGGGAATGTTGACAAGTACAGGAACTCCACATTATATAGTAAGAGTCCCTGAAGCCAGGACAAACATGATTGTTCAATGTGTCTTCCCCTTAAGACATCAAACTAGGGACTTCCCTGGTGATGCAGTGGTTAAGAACCCGCCTGCCGGGCTTCCCTGGTGGCACAGTGGTTAAGAATCCGCCTGCCAATGCAGGGGACACGGGTTCGAGCCCTGGTCCAGGAAGATCCCACATGCTGCGGAGCAACTAAGCCCGTGCACCACAACTACTGAGCCTGCTCTCTAGAGACCGTGAGCCACAACTACTGAAGCCTGCATGCCCTAGAGCCCACGCTCCGCAACAAGAGAAGGCACCGCAATGAGAAGCCCGCACAATGAAGAGTAACAATGAAGAGTAGCCCCAACTCACTGCAACTAGAGAAAGCCCACACGCAGCAACAAAGACCCAACTCAGCCAAAACTAAATAAATAAATAAATAAATTTATTAAAAAAGAATCCGCCTGCCAATGCAGGGGACAGGGGTTTGAGCCCTGGTCTGAGAAGATCCCACATGCTGCAGAGCAACTAAGCCCGTGCGCCACAACTACTGAGCCTGCGCTCTAGAGCCCACAAGCCACAACTACTGAAGCCCGTGTGCCACAACTACTGAAGCCCGCACGCCTAGAGCCCACGCTCCGCAACAAGAGAAGCCACCGCAAGCAGAAGACCGCGCACCTCAATGAAGAGTAGTCCCTGCTCGCCGCAACTAGACAAAGCCCACACTCAGCAATGAAGACCCAACGCAGCAAAAAATAAATAAATTTATTAAAAAAAAAAAAGACATCAAACTAGAGAAGCCAGTTTCTTACCTTTTGTACTTTTCAATAAGATTCTTAGCTTGCTCTTCAGCAAACAGAATCCCAGCAGGGCAGTCTGGGAAATCACCTGGGACATTAGGTGACCTTTTATACTGAGAATGCACTACAGTCTCTTTTAATCCTCCAACTCTTGCACCTCGATAGATCTAAAAGAAATGCCAGAAAGATCCTGTCACTATACCAACTTAAAACGAAGCTGCTAAATTCTTTGTATGGGAAACCTAAATACCCATCAAAAATCAAAAACAGAATGGATAAATACACTGGGGAACTACCCCATGATGGGTTACCATACAATAGTAAAAATGAATGAAATAGAGCTTCACCAATCAACATGGGGAAATCTCAATGTTGCGTGAATATTGCAAGTTGCAAAAGCATTTACACAAGGAATAAAGTTTAAAAACATGTCAAATATAGCTATTTTATTTTAGGATATACACACACACTTAATAAAGCTATAGAAACATGCCTGATAGTGACAAACACCAAAAACAGGACTAGTGATTCCTTGAGAAGGAGAGAGGGAAATGGGATTGGAGAGGGGTACACAGAGCGCTTCCAATGAACCTATAATGTCTTATTTCTTATTTCACCAGCTGGATGGCGGGTGAAAGGTACACAGGTATACCTTCTGTATGCTTCAAACAGTTCATAATTTTAAAGTTAGACTGAAAAATATTCCCACTCTTAAGTGATTAACTGAATGTCCTTTGCACTATGCATAATCACTAAAATTAATTATCTGCCTGAATCTAACGGTCTTACATGTCGTGCCCTTTATGCTTTCTAGCTCAAAGTAATTATTTAACCAGGAAAAAAAAAAACACACATTAGATTTTTAATAAAATTTTTATCTGGTTAATAAAAGAGGAATAAATGGAACAGCACGTAAAAAAAAAACAGTATTCTATACATCTATAAAAACGAAGTCTTTTGGCTTTTCAACTGTAACAAATTTCAAGTAAAGAAACCCCAACATTTTGTTGCCACTATTATTCAAAAATCAGGCCACTTTTAAAACCTCAAAAATTCAAAAAATGTCAGCACAACTCTTAGTAATGAAAACCGGGCTCCAGGGACTCTATGAAGTATCTCATATCCAGGATTATAGCTCAAAGGGCAGAGAACTAGCACTCAATTTCTAGGCCGTGCGTAAAGTCAGGAACATTTTCAGTGCTTGGCATTCACTAGGAATGTATTTTAAATGTTGTAACTGTTGGTCAGAATCGAAGAGTAACTTACAAATGGAATCCAGAAAGCCATGCCCCAGCCCTTTGGGAGGAGGACATCCCAGCCACTTCCCCAGCCTCGTTGGTCATCACCAGTCACTTTTCCTGGCTGTTGAATCAAAAGTATAGGAACCTTGGATTCATGGGGACCTAAAAAAAGCTGTGACCCGGGCACCAGCAATTCACTCCTCTTCCGGTTTAAATCCTGAAGTGGAAGAAAATAATTCAAGACAAACAACCCTAGTCTTCCGGGAGATCCTACCGGGTCTCCCTATAAGCAGCTTTAGAAAGTTAAATGCTCTTTTAAAAAGCAAGAAAAAGGTGTTCTCAATAAGTAAATGTGAGCCATTTTAAGTACAAGGTATTCCTCCCAGGATGATTTTCCTCTATACAAGTGCTTTGGTAGAAAATGCCCAATTGTCTTAAATTAGAATATACTAGGTGATTAAAGGTAATAAAATAATATACATTCATTCTGCTAATTCCTTATCTATCGGGATTAATCTTACATTTTGATACTCTGTCCCTACATTTATTTTGGTTAAGATTGGTGGTCATGAAGTAAAAGGGCTATAAACAAGAACTTCTCAAGGAGGGGCAAGTGGCAAAATACTCCAGCTTTTAAGAAAATTTCTCAGCAGGTCTTAAAAGAGAATATGCTATAAATTATCTATTAAGCGGACTGCAGGGAGTGGATAAGAACATCCTTGCAGATTTTTCTTGCCAGCTGGAGACAGGCCTGCCGCTCAATTGAGGAGACTACACAGGAGACCACCTCCATGCTACAAAATCTAACTCATGAATGCCCTTCATGCACGACCAAGTCCCGAGTCTCCTTTTTTTACCTTTGGTCAAGTTACCACTACCTTCTACATATTGGTAATTCCAAAATATCTATCTCTTTAGTCCCAACTTTTCCTCCTGGGATAGAAACCTGTCTCCTGGACATCTGCTCCTGGGACGTCCTGAGGCCCCTCAGTTTATGTGAGACTAAACTCATCTTCCCCGCTGCGTCACTCTCTTCCTGTGTGCCCCGGCTGGCTGAATGACATACAATTCTCACAGTTCATTAGCTCATTCGTTCACCCTTTCAAATATTTAGTCTTCATTCGTTTACTTGTTCATTCAAACATTTCCTAAGCACCTGTTATATGCCAGGCACTTAGCTAGAACTTGGGAATACAGCAGTGACAAGTCAGACCTGGCTCTGCCTCTCTTTTAGCTGAGCTCCTAAAACGAAGCTAGACCATTAGGAGCTAACCCACAGGCCTCCTCCTTTCTCACTTCCCATCTTGCAATCAACCACTGAGTCTAGTCAGTTTTACCTTCCAGGTATACGTATTAAAGCCCAGCCCCTCCACTCCAGCCACACTGCCACACTTCAGGCCCCCATCATGCCATCTGGACTACTTCAAGGGTCTCTTCTAAGCCATCCAACCACAAGCCCTGTCTCCAGCTCTTCCGCCCCCTTACCCCCGTCCCTAGTCTCCACAGCACTGCCAGACTGAAATCTGATCATGTCATGGCCCAACTTAAAATCTTCAATGGCCCCTGCATCTTCAGTCCAAATGCAAAAATGCCTCAAGGTCTTTTACACTATAGCCCCTTTTTATCTCCTCAGTTCCATCTCCTACCCTACCCTTAACTCCAAGATACTGATCAACTTGGAGATTCCTGAACATGCCATCCTGTTTTTGGCCTGGGCCCTTGCCCTCGTTCTCAACTCCGACAATCCTTCCTCCACTGCAGCCTTGGCTCCTGGCCCCTGGCCGCCAAGAAGCCTGGTTAATTCTGATCACACACCTAAGAGTTAGCTCAAATACCAGCTCCTCCACCCAGGAAGCTTTCCCCAGTTTCCCTAGTCCGGGCTCAGTACCCCTTCTTTGGGCTTCCTTTGTACTCTGTACTTGAACTTCAACCTAATCCTAGTCATCTACCCCACTACCTAATACAATACCTGGTGCTGATAGGAGCTCAATCATTGTGAAATTAATGACAGAGAACATTTAAGGGGAAAAATAATAAAAGGAAAAAAAATTTAAACTATAAGATTATCATTTCAAGAAAAAGTCTTTGTATTGACCTTTTCTAGAGATTATTCTTCTCTAAGAACGGAAAATAGCATTGTATATATCGTAAGGGATCCAAAAATTGAAAATAAAAGGAAGTCTATGGGATTCTATAAAGTATGAAATAACGTTCATGGTCTCTAGAGTGATGAATTTCTGCCTGTTTTCACGACTTTACCATTAGTTACCTGATCCGAGATTTTATTCTCTGTGACACTCTTACAGATATCCTGGTTCCAAAGAAAGCTATGCGAACACTCCACAGGCACACCCTCCAGAAGCAGCTGTCTAACTTTCTCATTATCTAAGAGGGAAAAGAAATAGCCTTAAACCACATTCCTTAGATCAGTGAGGTCAAATTCTAAACAAAGCCAGGTGACCTTTTGTCACAAGAAACTATTCTATAGGCTCCTCTAGAAGCCTAACTTCTCTAGAGAAATTTATTTCCTTGAGTAGAAATTGTTATCCTTACAGTTGGTTTCATAATCTGTGAAACAGCAAAGGCTCCTAAACTTATTTCTTTGACATTTATTTTTAGTCTGTAAGATGCAAATATTACATTAAATTGCCTCTAAATATCTGCCTGATTCCACATTTAAGATAATCACGTTCTAGGCATCACTGCAGAGGCGAACCATTTCTTGATTATATGCTCTTGACGGCACAAATCATATTTTAACTATTGGCTTCAGGGCTCTTTATATCATCCCTGACCCAATGGTCTTGAGCCAACAGACACCATCCTCTTCTTCTGTCCTATTACTTCAAGTTTCTGATAACCCTTTTTTACAGAATTGAATGTATGCCTTTCTGTAAAACGTATTTTTCTCAGTCCTTTAAAACGAATATATTTGTTGTGAAATATGTTGTTTCATCCCTTAAAACGAGCTACACCATGACAAAAAGTACTCTAGTGGGAAAGGAGGAGGAATTTTTTCAGTTATAAACACATATATTGACAGAAGAGACTTCCTACATGCAATTACTTAAACACTAGGGGAAAAAAAATCTTTCAAATCTTACTTTGTTGGACTGAAGAATTAAAAGTAAAAAGTCAGACGATTCATGAGTTTAGGCTAAGGTCCTAAAATGCCAACATAGAAAGGTCACTCAACCTGCATGGGTCTGATGGCTGAAAAAAGTAAGTTGGAAGTGACTTGGCCATAATGTGACAGATATCAGGGATAAACAAGTTAGAAAAAACTAAACTGGTGAAAAGATCTGAGATGAAAGCTCCTTAAAAGCAGCAACTGCTTCTACTGCAGCTGGAGAGAATAACCAGCAGCATCTCAAGTGACAAGGCGTGTGCTGTAAAAATTCACACGGCCTGTCTAGGAGCAAAAAAGCCCCATCAAACAGCTGTCTGCCGAGAAGGCTTTCCTGTGGAGTGCTGCCATAGATCTGAGTGACAGAGCTGGGCTTTTATTCAGATTTGGCTGCAGACAAAAGAGATGGCTAATACTTAGGGTGTAAAGGCATAAGAAAGCACAATTTCATCTTCAAATATTCTACAAAATAATAAGTAAAAAGATGAAACAAAGTAGATGGTACATCCAGACAATGAAATATTATTCAGCACTAAAAATAATGAGCTATCGAACAACCCAATCCAAAAACGGGCAGAAGACCTAAACAGACATTTCTCCAAAGAAGATATACAGATTGCCAACAAACACATGAAAGAATGCTCAACATCATTAATCTTTACAGAAATGCAAATCAAAACTACAATGAGATATCATCTCACACCGGTCAGAATGGCCATCATGAAAAAAACCAAAAAACAATAAATGCTGGAGAGGGTGTGGAGAAAAGGGAACACTCTTCCACTGCTGGTGGGAATGAATTGGTATACAGCCACTATGGAGAACAGTATGGAGGTTCCTTAAAAAACTACAAATAGAACTACCATATGACCCAGCAATCCCACTACTGGGCATATACCCTGAGAAAACCATAATTCAAA